TTTAAAATTTTCTTTCAGTGAGATATACACTACAAAAAGAGTCTATTAGAATCAAATGCTTCTTGCGAATAATCGATGCAGTTCACAGTTCTCTTAGGATTGTGTACGAATGGAAAATTGCTGTATGAATTTTTAAGGTTGTGACAAATCTATACGGAACTTTATCACTAACCTTCTGAGTCGTCTTTTTTAAGGAAATTTAATTCCCTACCAATTTCCAATCAGCTCCAAAAAGAGGACTGAATTCCTTGTTATGCAGATTAGATAAAGTATTTAAGTCAAACGGAATAGTAAAGTTAGAGCAGTAGGAGAGTGAGATTGAAGCAGAAAGTTATAATAGTGAAGTTAGATTTATAATTGAAGATTTCTTGGTGGATAATTTAATCTCAGGAAGAGTTGAGAATCAGTGTGGTAAATATTGATTTATAATTAATTAAAGTCTCATTAAAGCTGTATATTAGGAGTGAGATTAAAGTTAAATGTTCAATAGGAACATTATAGAATATAATTCTGGGATCTCTTATCGTGGTAATCTCTGCGTGATCGATATTCTAATTGTTAATTAATTGGATCATTAAATATTTAAGTTAATTTAAAGGAAAGTCCCTTTTTAAACCTCATATAGCTAATTCTATTTATTTGTTATAAAAAGTATTTGATTCTATTTGGGAAAGATAATTAAATAAAGAAAGTTATTTATAAAAATGGCTACTGGTTCTTATATGACTCCAATTTATTCTCGTTCTCAAGGTGAGGTCCAAGGGGACCTTCACAAGGTACATAATCGAATGCTTACCCGTCTATCCACATGCGGATCCTATGATCTGCTACAAGACTGAAGGTCCAATGCATCGCTGAACATTAAACGATGCCCGATGCCAGTAATTGGCAGTTACAATAATCGTCTACGATACTATAGTAGACAACTCTGCCGATGGAATACGGAAGTCATGAAAAATGCTGTGAGGGTGATCCCTATGGATTCTCCTGGAAATTAAAAGGAATCTACTAATATCGCGATCTATGATGTAAGCGGATCTTTCGAGAAAGATCCTTGATGATTACTCGACGAAACTGAGTTAGTCTTGTTTTGAATGGCAGAGAAGAATTGATTTGACCGTGAAGAGTCGACTAGCGATTAGCTCGGCTGTTGAGCATGACGAGCGAGTGCTTGTGAATAATCTCTAACATAATTGTATTTTAGGCATTGATAGTTGTGTCTGAATGCTGCTGGAAGTGTGAAAACGGCCGAAATACAGAGTATCCCGTATTTCAAAGATTGTTTTTCGACAATAAATTTCCATCGCTCCTGAAGAATTGTCTTGCTCTTTGCGACTGATTGCATAAAATCCTTGAATCCTGATCTACGTAACAATACGTTAATGTCATTAAGCGAGTTTTATTCATAGAAATTTGAATTTTGAAAAGGTTGAGAATATGTATGATACGTCTTAAGTAATAAACATAAATTTGTAGGTTTATATTAAAAATGTACAAGTAATAGTTTAATGTAATTGTAGGTTTCTACAATGCAGGTAACATGCTCTTAGATTAAGAATTTATGATGTGTGATATACATTTTAAATGTTGATACTCTTTATTACATTTTGGAAATAAATCCTCATATTTCGCCGTCTCGTATGAAAACTTTGAAGAAGCAGCTGAAAATGATTTTCTTTTTCCATAACAGTATTAAAAGCTTTTAACTGATGAAATCATTTTCTGAGTGGGTGATTTTCTGGTTTTCCCTCCCGGCAGAATTAGATATTTTGAGAATTACTTAAAAGAAAATATCTTCGCGTGTGATTTTAAAAGCTTTATGCACTCGAATTATTTAAAGCGAGATAGCTTTCAAATTTTACTGACGAAGTAACAAATACTCGTAATGAGAGCATTTTTAGCGTATCTTAAATCTATTAATTGTATTTATTTACCACAGTAATACCAATAAATTTATTAAAAAGAATTCTAAATTAAATGTAAATAAATATTCTTTTTGATTAGAATCCAAAACTTTAAAAAATAATTCTTATTAGAATGAAAATACGAGAAAGAAATACTAATTCGTGAATGTAAAAAAGAATTGTTCTGACTTCTTTTTTTTCCTTCTCAATTACTACTATTAGTTCATTCTCTACCTATGTATATATATATATATATATATATGTGGCATGCAGCCAAAAGCCAAGCAGTCTTCGCGCGCAGGCGCAGCTAAGTGAAACAAAAACTGAAACTAGGAGACTGTGAACTTTTAAGAGAGGAGAAAGAAGAACGAGAGAGAGAGAGAGGTGCGCGAGCAGGCGTTACCTTCTGCATATCATCGTCAAACTTATCTACCTTTTTAATTAATTTTTATTAAGTTTTAAAATAAAATAGAAGAAAGACAAACGTCTTGGACCCCTTGTTGTCTCCCACAAATTATGGGGGCTCGGCCGGGATCGATAAAATTTCGATTTTGAACCAAAGTCTGGACAATGAACAAAAGCGTCCGTGAAGGAGACGCTCAGCCATTTTTCGAAAACTTCATTCAACCTGTGTAGAGGTTTGAACTCAGCATAAATATTCCGCCTGTGTAGAGGTTGGAACTGTTGAATAAAATAACCTGTGTAGAGGTTATATTTTTCATCGAACCCTAAATATTCCGCCTGTGTAGAGGTTGGAACTATCATCGACGAAACACCTGCGAAGAGGTGTCCTAAGTTTTTTTCAATTATTGGATGCATCGTACGTGCGAGCAACAAGGGAGCTAGAAAAAAAAGGTAGGATCTTTCCATATTTTTTTAAAATGTATAAAAACGCTCTTAAAGAGGATCTCATAAGAGTTGTTGAGGATCTAGACGGTACTGTGGAGAGTACGGACACCATAGCTAAACTAAAGACTAAAATTGAGAACAGTAGTACATTTGAAAGTGATCCAGATTTCGTTAAAACTTTAATTCAAAACTGTATAGATGAGAGAGTATCGCGAAACGAAAGAGAGGTAACTTTAGAAAAACAGAAAATTGAGCTCACGAAACTTCAGTTAGCAAAATTAGAAAAAGAAGTCGAACTTCAAAGGGTTAAAAATAAAGCATTAAGTTTAAATCCTGCAGCTAAAGTCGAAGAGAAACAGTTCAAAACTTTAAATAAGGAAACCGCAACTCATATTGGCATTCGAGAAGCAGAAGATTGGTTCAGGCCTATTGATTTACCTAAAGAGTGCGATATTTATATTTCATCTAGAAGCGGATCACATAAAGAAATTCCTATTACTTATGGATATACCCAAGACCCCTTTAAAAATAGATCACAAAACTTTAAACCAAAGATTAAAGAGAACTATCCCCAATATCTTGAAAGAGAAAATAAAAATTGCTTTATATGCGGTGATTCATCTCATTACACAAGAGACTGTGAGAAGCGTTTTAAACCTAAAGAATCTAACAGCCACATCCATAATAGAATAAACGTGAATACTTTGAAAGTCGAGAGCGAAAAACAAAATAGCGATGAATTCTCAAATCTTCAATATGTACACATTTTTGTAGAAAATCAGCCCGTAACAGCCTTGATCGATTCAGGTTGCCAGATCCCAGTTTTAAATTCCTCACTAATTAGAGTGCACAAACCTTCCGAAGAGATCATAACATTAAGTTCATGTTTTGGCGAACAGCGTATGGTAGAAGTTAAACCGATAAATCTTTCTCTTAATCAACACTCTCCCGGTCTAAGTGTTCAAACGGCAATATCACCGACCTTGACCGAAGAATTTATTATACATCCCAGTGTATATGCTGAAGTAAAGAAACTAGACCACGCAAAGAGCGATGTTTTATTGAGTGAAAGTGGATCCTCTTTGGGTGTTCATTTTAATTCAAATGTTTCTGTTTCAAATGTGATAGAAAACTCTAGTTATGATTTGCCACATGTTAAAAACTTTAATACTAGAAATGATTTGAGTTCTCTAATTAAGGATTATAAATGTAATAAAATTAAGAGTACTAAGTTAAAATTGAGTATTATAAGAGAAAAATGTTCTGATATAGTATTGTGTAAGAAAGTAAATGGTGCCATAAAAACGAGTTCCGTGGAATTTATCTCCCGATCTCCTACCCCTTCACCTATGAATAGTAAATATCGACGGTTTGTGTTGCTCCGACGAATCTTTCAGCCCTGGCAGTGGAAACGGAGGAAAAAGAGAAATCGTTTTGAACAGACGTCCAGAACTCTAGAGAGGAAAATATCGATGCGTTCAACCAAAGATCAACTTGTTAAAAAAGACGTTCTCATGCCTGTGAAACACAATGTTTTCCTGTGGAACCTTTCGGATGTCGAAGAGGTGCCTTCACATGATGGAGAAACTGTTTAGTGCAGAAAAATTATATGTTAAATCTCTATGTATTTGTCGTATAGTCCTTGTCTGTTCCGTCTTTTTTGTATGTTTCAGATTCTCCTCTGGTCTCGATGAAAAAGGAAAAAAGGAAGACGTACCGCTGCGGACAGCGTACAGTCAGAATGGCCGTTGTGGCATGCAGCCAAAAGCCAAGCAGTCTTCGCGCGCAGGCGCAGCTAAGTGAAACAAAAACTGAAACTAGGAGACTGTGAACTTTTAAGAGAGGAGAAAGAAGAACGAGAGAGAGAGGTGCGCGAGCAGGCGTTACCTTCTGCATATCATCGTCAAACTTATCTACCTTTTTAATTAATTTTTATTAAGTTTTAAAATAAAATAGAAGAAAGACAAACGTCTTGGACCCCTTGTTGTCTCCCATATATATATATATATATATATATATATATATATATATATATCTTGTTCAAATTTTCAATCGTTAGTAAAATACTTTCAACTAATCCATTCAAATTCATATACATTTTTTTAAACTTGTAGTCGATGACACTTAATATTAATACAGTTTTTTCAAATATTAATTCATTAATTAAATTAAAAAATGAATAAATAATTACAAACAAAAATAATAGTCTAACAACATACATAGAAAGGAAAATCGTTCGTTGTGTCCGTGTAACGCAACGGATAGCGTGTTAGACTTCTAATCCGAAGGCCGTGGGTTCGAATCCCGCCTGAAATTGCCTAATTTCTGAAAATATGATTTCTTTTTTACTATACTATTTCCTTAGAATAATTAAATTTAATTAATGAATTAATAGTAACAAACAAATATATATATGTTCACCTCCATATATAGAAAGGAAAATGTGGAAAATTGCAAGGAAAATCGCTTTCCATTTTGTCACTTAATAGCGTGATTCTGTCATATGTATATACACATTTATATTATTCGTAACTAATTAATAAAATGTAGCTAAAATTAAATTTTTTTATGTTGACCTTAGTAGGAATTGAATTAATTTTTTTACTTGTTTAAAGTCACTCTAAACAAAATTAACCTAAAAGGAAATTCTGAAACTTATAAACGAACTTTTCGGCACCATCTAATTTAGTGATTGTGGAAAGTATTTCAAATTTGAACAACAGAAAGTTAAAAGTGACGCGAGCTTTTAGTCTCATTATTTTATTTATGATGCATTAATTTAAATGAAATTTTTACTATCAAGTAAGACTTTAAGAGATCTACACATTAAATTATTATGACATTAATTGCCTTAGGACAAAATAAAAGAGTTTCTATTTTTAACGGGCATTAATTTGTCATCTTATTTATATTAAAAGGAAATCGCAATTATTGTCAACTTAAGAATAATTTTGACTGTAAATCAATAAAAATGTATCCTTTATGGTATAATGTAAGTCTATTTTCATTGTTCACACTAAAACTTTTTCCATGGCAAAATTATGAAGTACAGTTTTGTTACAACAGTGAATAATTCTTCTGCGTGTACGTTTTCTTATTTATAAGTTAGACCTTTTGTCAAAGTGATCATTTTAGTAAATAAATAAACTTAAATCTTAAATTATTTTAGAGAAAAGTTAGAAAAAAAAGCACTTTATTGAAAAATATACAGTGAAAATCGTTTAACACGAAACTGAAGGGACTGGAATATTTTTTCATGTTAAAGGGTATTGCAAAAGAAAAAAAATCATATATTCAGCAAAATTAAGTTTATTAGAGTACATTTCATAAACATAGGTATGTATTTAATAAAAATGTGCTCGTATTTATTAAAAATCAATGAAACAAAAACATTCACAATGAAATTTAATACAAATTTTTCAAGGTTTTGAAAACAACACATTTAGTGAGTTTTTGGAAAATAATCTGATATTTTTCTTTGAATTGTCTTTTTTAGCATTAAATTTTCAACTAATTTTTCGATGTTGTCTATTTTGTTATTCATTTCACCACTGAAATGTGCGTCTAAATAACTGCGCATACTTTTCATGATGTTCCTCATTTCGGATGACGTGGAATTATTCATCTCATTTACATCGTCAGAGTCTGCATCAATGCTATCTTTTGAACTTTGAACAAACTCCAAAATGTCTTTATCTACCATAAGTGCTGCTGTTCCTCATTTTATCATCATCTACCCTCAACGAATTCTTCCAATGATACAGTAGGGCAGTCCACTAATACAGAAACTTCCTCGAACTTCGGCTGGAGTTTTCCGTATTTTGTTCATTCCTGGAAGGGAAATCTATTCGTGCTAAGCGATATTCGTTTCGTGTTAAGAGAAAAAAAATGCATGAAAATACATAGTAGTTTGTTTCGTCTTAAGCGTTTTCGCGTTAAACATATTTCACTGTAATGTAATGAATGCATTGAAAGTAATGACGTTGTACTATTCCTTTATTCTAAATAACATAAATTACTTATTCAAAAATGAAAACTGCATCAAAATGATTGCATGATAGAATTTTTATCATAAAAACATGGAAACTATAATTTCCACATCAACAAAAAACATTTACAAGAATACGAAATGCATCACAAGAATAATATATAGATATAACAATGTCTTAAATAAATTTCTATTCTAAGAATTTTTTCTTTTAATTTTCAAGAAAATTTATCTTTAATATGCATCTTCTTCCACACGCAATTAAGGTCTGCAGAACATTTTTCGATGTAAGAATTCCTTTAATACATGTGCTCTCTCTTCTTTCTATCTCCAATTAAAAATTCCGATGGAATAAAAGAATATTTTTCTGATTTTTGCCTTTAATCTTTAAAGCGAACACAAGATTAGTATTAGGCGTACAAAAATACTTTTTAAACCAAAAATGTTTTTTAAAAAAGAACTTCTTTGAGGGCTGTTTGGTCACCAAAGATAATTTATTTTATTTTTTTATTTAAAAATATTTAAGATGAAGAACAATGTGAAATGAATAAATGAAGAACTTTGAATATTTAATATTTATTTAAAAGTTCAATTTATTCAATTTAAACATCTCACAATTAAAAATGATACCTACTTCTTTTTTTTTACAAAAAGGAATTATTAATATATTTTCTAAATTTTATCTCAATTTCAATTATAAGCTTTTCAATGCTAAAATTTCTGCTCTATATTATTTTAATAAATAGTTCTTATTATTTATAAAAGTATAATATTAAAACAGAGCATAGTAAAGAATAACAAAAAAAAATATTCCATACCATTGTGAAAAAAAGTTTTAAGTAATTTATTTATACATAATTGTTTCTAAAAAGTAAAAGAAATACAAATGTTCCTGCAAATATTTATAAATGAAATTCAATGCTGCTTTCTTATATAGCATTTTTAAGGCGTTTTATTTATTTTTTTTTCTTTTTACTGTTGCAATAAAAGCAAAGCTTTTAATTTTGCTATCAATAATTGATTGAGTTGGAGAACGAAGAATGTCCAATGAAATAAGTTTTACGTGAAAACGCTTAAAACGAAATGTCGGTTAACACGGAAGAATACAACGGTCCTGGCTAACTACTGTGTATTTTCATGCATTTTTTCTCTTAACACGAAACGAAAATCGCTTAACATGAAAGGATTTTCCTTCTGGGAATGAACAAAATACGGAAAACACGATCCGCACAGGCGAGATTTAAAAGGAGTGTGAAATAAAAGAGAGGTGGTTTCACTTGTTTCGTAAAAGGGAGGTTAACTTGGCTTTGAAATAACTTCAGAATAGCCTGTGGTACGAGCCAATTTTGTTTATATAAGCTCTTTTCACCCTTTACCCCTAAAAACGCCGCATAAAATCATCTCATCTCTCATCAGTTCTTTTTCAAATTCGGTGACTAGTAGGTGACAATTGCGAGTAAAAAACAGTGAGTTTGGATAGCATTCTTTTTCTATTTTAGAATAATTTTTTTGTGATCACAGTGGTAAAACATTTAGGAGGAAGCAAACTTCTATTTCGTTTAAAATAAAGATGGAGTTTCTTAAGGCTGTTGATCAAAAACAAGACGAAAAGGAAAATCTGTAAAGATTTTGGTATTGCTAACTGTATCTTATCAACAATAATTAAAAAAAAGAGAGCAAACTACGGAAATTTTTGAACATATCTATGTAAATAAAATATACTCTAATAAACTTATTTTTGTTTCATTCTTATTCTTATATCCAAATATGAATAATAAGAATAAAATGTGATTCTCTTATTTATGAGGAAAAGTTATTGGTATCTTGAAATTTTATCTTTCTATATATAAAAAAAGTTTTTTGTGAGATGCTGTAATAAATTTATTTATACATAAGGTATAGTTAGTAAAAATGGATAGTAAAAAGTTGAATTTCACTGAAGTGGAGCGTAAAGAACAATTTGCCTTGGGATTCCCCCCTACCTTCCATTTCTTTATCGAAAAATTAGCTTACGTTCTAAAACGTGATGTTATAGATTTCTCCAGAGATTTCCAGAAGCATCCAGAGGGTCGCCAAGTCGACAAAAATGATGGCAATTTAAAATGCGGGGATGATGAATTGAATTTTATTTTTTCCTTCTTATATAATACATGTAATTTGCAATTTTACAATTTGAACAGTGAAAATGAACAGTTGTATAATTCATACAATGGGGGGGATCCACCGTTAGGTGGACAGGGATACTCCCAGTAAGAAATAAAAATAATAAAAGATGAAGAAAATTAAAATAATAAATTTTAAATTATTTTAGCTGTGCCTTTTATACTTGAATGTTTACTTAATACATTAATTTTTATTAGATACTTATCTATATATATATAAATGAATGTTTGTATGTATGTCATCGATGAACTCAAAAACTACTGTACCGATTCTTATGAAAATTGCTATATATATGAATTTTTCCACGGAGAAGGTTTGTATAATATGCTCATTGATGCCACTCGCCACCAGGTGGCGCTGCAGAGTAGCAACTTCTGCCCCGTTCAACCGATTGTCATGAAAATCATTATGACCATGTATTTTTACACAGAGGAAACGAATATGATATTCGTATTAATGGAAGTTACCACCAGATGGCGCTTCCATGTATCAAGTTCAATACTGATTTTAATAGATATCTATACGAATTCGTATAAATAAAAATTCTCAAAATATATTTTTGGTGCGATAAGTAAAATAAAACTATAAACTTTATTCTCTTCTCTTTCTCTTCTTCTCTATCTCTTCTTCTCTTCTCTCTCTCTCTCTTTCTCTATTTTCTTTTTCTTCTCTATTTCTTATTCCCTTCTCTTCTCTTCTCTATCTCTATAAAAATGATTGTTTACCTGTATGTCTTTTCTAGAATCGTAAACTATGTATTTGATTATGTGAAGATGTCATTCTTATGAATTTCATATATTGTCGTTACAGTTCATGCTGATATGAATTGAAACAAATGAAGCGAACGATAGATGACATTTCGAGTCGAGAGTGACATAAGAATTTGTGCAGGTTGTGAAATTCATATTTAGCTTACATTAAACAGACAATATTGTGCATATTTTTATATTTGGGAGAGTTTTTCGAATAATTTTGTGCATTTTATCGTAAGCTGAATTAATTTAGATAAATACTTCAATCGGATTGAATATTTGTAGTTTCCGTGAGCTGATTATATTCATTTTCTACAGTGAATTTACGAAGATCATCGAATGTGTATGTGAAGGATTTGACTGCTGATTGACATTCCGAACGCATTTGCTGTGCGGTTTTTTTTTTCTTATTA